GTGTGTGTGTGAGACACTGTGAGCGTCAGTGTGACACGGGTGTGTGTGTGTGTGTGAGACACTGTGAGTGTCAGTGTGACACGGGTGTGTGTGTGTGTGACACTGTGAGCGTCAGTGTGACACAGGTGTGTGTGTAACACTGTGAGCGTCAGTGTGACACGGGGATGTGTGACATGGGTGTGTGTGTGTGTGTGTGTGTGTGTGACACTGTGAGCGTCAGTGTGACACGGGGGTGTGTGACATGGGGGTGTGTGTGTGTGTGTGAGACACTGAGCGTCAGTGTGACACGGGTGTGTGTGTGTGTGACACTGTGAGCGTCAGTGTGACACGGGTGTGTGTGTGACACTGTGAGCGTCAGTGTGACACGGGTGTGTGTGTAACACTGTGAGCGTCAGTGTGACACGGGGGTGTGTGACACGGGTGTGTGCGTGTGTGTGTGTGAGACACTGTGAGCGTCAGTGTGACACGGGGGTGTGTGACACGGGTGTGTGTGTGTGTGAGACACTGTGAATGTCAGTCTGACACGGTTGTGTGTGTGTGTGACACTGTGAGTGTCAGTGTGACACGGGTGTGTGTGTGACACTGTGAGCGTCAGTGTGACACGGGGGTGTGTGTGTGTGGCACTGAGCGTCAGTGTGACGTGTGTGTGTGTGTGTGTGTGTGTGTGAGAGACACTGTGAGCGTCAGCGTGACACAGGTGTGTGTGTGTGTGTGTGTGACACTGTGAATGTCAGTCTGACACGGCTGTGTGTGTGTGAGACACTGTGAGCGTCAGTGTGATACGCGCGTGTGTGTGTGTGTGTGTGACACTGTGAGCGTCAGCGTGACACGGGGGTGTGTGACACAGCTCTGTGTGTGTGTGTGTGAGGCACCACAAGCATCGGTGTGACACGGTGTGTGCGTGTGTGTGACGTTGTATGTGTGTGTGTGTGTGTGTGTGCAACACCGCAACTGTGTCAGTGTGACATGGCTGTGTGTGACACCGTGAGCACCGTGTGTGACACCGTGAGCGAGTGTGATGTGTGTGTGTGACACCACGAGTGTGTCAGTGTGACACAAGTGTGTGTGTGTGTGACACAGTGTGTGTGTGTGACACTGCAACTGTGTCACTGTGACACGGTTATGTGACAGGGTGTGTGTGTGTGTGACACCGCAAGCATCAGTGTGACACAGGTGTGTGTGACACAGGGTGTGTGTGACACAGGGGTGTGTGTGACACTATGAGCGTCAGTGTGACACGGGTGTGTGTGACACAGTGTGTGTGTGTGTGACACTGCGGGTGTGTCAGTGTGACACGGGGTGTGTGTGACACTGGGCATGTGTGACACTGCGGGTGTGTGGATGTGACACTGTGTGTGTGTGACACTGCAAGTGTGTGACACCACAAATGTGTCAGTGTGACACTGTGTGTGACACTGCGAGTGTGAGTGTGACACTGAGTGTGCACGGGTGTGACACCGTGAGCATGTCAGTGTGACACTGGGTGTGTGACACTACGTGTGTGTGTGTGTGACAATGGGTGTGACCCTATGTGAGTGTGTGACCCCGAGTGCCAATGTGGCTCTGTGTGTGTGACTGTGTAAGACACCGTGTGTGACAGCGTGTCCAYGTGAGACACTCTGTGTGTGTAAGACACCGTGACACCTCTGTGTGTGTGTGACACCATGTGAGTGTGTGCGAAGTGACAGCATGTGTGTGACTGGGTGTGTGTGACACTACGTATGTGTGCCTGGGTGTATATGAGATTACTGTGTGTGAGTGACACGGTGTGGGTGTGACACCAGGTGTGTGGTGCCATAGGAGTGTGTGACACCGTGTGTGTGACGCTGTGTGACAGCATGTGTGACACCCTGTGTATGTGTGTGACATTGTGTGTGAGACACTGTATGTGCGTGACACCGTGCGTGTGTATGTGAGGCTGAACATGGTGCACCCACGTGCGTGTGAGACACCAGGTGTGAGTGTGACGGTGTGCGTGACATTGTGTGCGTGGGACACCCGCTCTGATCCCAAGGGCCCTGCCCGGTGCCCGGCRTTCCCACCCAGCGCCAGGGCCGGGCGGCAGCCTCCCTGTCCCAGCCTCGGCCTCTCCCTCCAGCTCGCGCACAAACAACGGGCAGACCCGGGAGGCAGCGGTGTGCGTTGCTTTTCTTTTTTTTTTTTTTTTCCTTTAAATTTTTATTCCAAAAAATTCCACCCCCACGAGACAAAATATTTCCCTTCAGAGGCTGGTGTGGTCCCTCCCGCCCCGCAACGTCTCTTCCATGCCCTGTGGTAATACGGTGTGAGCAAAGAGCCTCTCTAAAACCAGTATCGGAGAATGCTTAGAAAA